CGATCTCATTTGTTCATTTTGCAGTGAAAACCATATTTATGATAATTGTCCACATAACCCTGCTTCCGTTTTTTATGTAGGACATGGGAACAATATGAACTTTAACCCATATTCGAACACCTACAACCTAGGTTGGAGGCACCACCCTAATTTCTCATGGGGAGGTCAAGGAGGTTCGAGCGGTTTTAATCAAGGGCAGAGCCAGCAGAACAAGCAGCCCTATGTTCCACCTACACAGCAATACATCCCGCCACCGCAACGACAGTACAATCAGAGAACACAGACTCCACCAGTTCAAACAAATATTGCATTTAGTCCTGATGAGCAACTCTTTCTGACTCGAACATCGGTCGAGAAAGAGAGCGAAACGGGAGGTCTGCTCTATTATTGTTAGGTCTATCTCTAATGATTTTCTCAGCTCTGCTTTGTAGTACAATCATTGCTGATATTAGTTTGACTACTGCAAATCAATTGTATTACTGTCATTATTTAGTTTGTTAATAGAGGAAAAAGAATCACTCTCTCTCTCAACTTTACCACTGCTCTGTTATAACAATTGCTACTTAGATTTTAATTTTATTTTTTTTATCTCTCTGTTATTTATTTCGATTTTTGTCAGCTTGCTTAATCCTCTCCAAACCACCGGAAAAAAAAAACAAAAAACTCCTTCCAGATATATGGCAGAGTTAGATTTTGACAAAGTCCTCCTTCATTTAGAAGCTGCCGGTAAGGCAGCAACTCTCCGAGTGCGATTTTCTAATTCGAGCAATATATATAATCTATTGATAAGGTGTCCATTTGTTTGCTTCTTTTATCTAATTTAATTGAACTTTGTAGAACTAGATTCAATTGAAAGCATTGGTTGAAGAAATGCGAGCACGGAGTATATAGGTCCTGATAAATTGGAGCAAGAGCTAGCTAACTGCTTCAAAAACGTCCATATTGTATAAAATGAAAGAATTTGATTGAGTAATTCACATGAAAGAATAGTGTTTGGAAAACGTCATATTTTATATAATGAAAAACGTCCATATATTGTATACAATGAAAGGTTTCAACCTATCAGAGTTGCTGAAAGCCAGCTTTCCTTCTCACAGGCCATCCTCCCTTGAGACAGGTTAGCTCGATGACATGGAGCATCATATTGCATACAATGCATTTTCTGTAAGTTCTATTTTTATTTTGTTGAGTAATTCACATCCTTAAAAAAATTTGTTTATAAGTATAATTTATTTCCTCTTTGAGACTACATGTCAAAGTTTTCGACTCCCTTTGCACTAGACCGCGTATACATGTCAAACTGAATGCCCATTGTGACATAGATCATCATATTGTATACAATCTGTATTCTTCTAAAAAAGCTCTAGTATTTGAGAGGTTGTTATTTTCAGGGTCTAACACTCTGCACTATTCAGATATATTGTGACTAATTGTGATTGACATGTCAGATGGCATTTTCATGTTCATACAAAGGATTGTGCTGTCCTTAGAGATGTAAGTGCTGTCTTTTTCTCAAAACAGAACTTGATCATTTTGTTTATCTGGTATTCATATTAGTAAGAGAATTAAAGTTGACTATATAGTTTTCATTGACTAGTTAAATGCCTTCCATGTAACACCAGGACTGTTGGGCATTTATAGCAACCTATCGAATGCAATTCAGTGAATAATTGCTAAATTTATTTCAGGAAATGGAAATGTCGGCTGATGTGCTTGCCGCAGGTTTGCTTGAGGTTGCTGATCCATATCATGCAAGGTTTCATTGACAAAACATTTTTTCCCTCGACATCGCGAGTCTGTTTGTTGTTCTAAAGTAAATCACATTCACTTTTAATAGTGATTTTCTTCCCTCCAACTTTTGATAACAAAAAATAAACAAATTACTTTGAAAATATTTCCTAAAACAATTCAAGAAAAACAAATTTGAATTCAAATTACTAGTAGTGCAGTAGGATAGGATTCAATGTTAAGGTTAGATGAGTGTAAATGAAATGGACCTAAAGAGACAATTGCTTGCATTGTTATTTCACAATCACAAATGAAAGGGAAATCAATTTTACCATTTTGATTAAGAATATAGACCTACTATTAATTCAATTTATTACATGTGAAATAAAATAGAATTACAAAGGTTGTGAACTAAATTGTTTTGTCGGTTAAAAATATTCTTCATGTATTTATAAAATTATATTCCAGTCATTAACATTACACATTATTACTTTGATTCGAAATAAAATTATGATTGTATTCTTAAATCTAACACTAGATATCTACCCATAGCTTAAAATATATTCTTACATTTTATTAATTCTATTAAATATGCTACCATAATTAAAGTGATAACTAGTAGCTAAAGTTATTATTAAAAAAAAAACTAGTCAGTGAGATTGATGATGCTAAAATAAAATATTTAAAATGATAAAAAAGATTGAAACCAAATAAAACTAACAGAGTTTTAAGTAAAAATTTGAATTCGAAATTGATTATAAATTATTGTTTTAGACACATTTCTAAGATAAAATTATATATATATATTTTTATAAAATTGGCCCAAAACTTAAAGAAAGTAAAATGAAATATTTAAAATTTATAACGGAAGCAAAATAAAATTAGATAAAAATTTGAAGTTTAAATTAATTGAGTGTATAAATTTTTTGCGACACTTTTTTAGCATATAATAATAAGATAATTAGCATAATCAGGGAAACGATTAACAATTGGTTTTACAAAATTTATAACCAAGGAAACGATTTAGATTTTAATAATTAAAAAGAAAATTAAAATAAAATAATGTTTGAAAAAGAAAGAGGAAAAAGAAACCGTCAAAACGGATCCAGTAATAGGACTCGGGCCTCGTCCATTAGTTCTCGCGAGTCCCACTTTAAGCCCAGCTGGACTTTCAATTGCCACGTAACTTTCACGTCCATTCCACACGGTGCCTTTCCCTCTCTCTTTCTCTCTCTAAATACGCAACTCTTCTTCTTCTCCATCTTCCCTCTCTCTCTCTCCTGTCCAAAATCCGTCCGCCATTTCCACTGTCCCGAAGCTCGGCGATAGCAGCGTATTTCTTCTCCTAGGACTCGGTCCCAACTGTTCGTTTTCTTCTTGTTCCGGTGTTGCAAGATCAGAATGTGTTTTGTGTAGAGAGATGCTGCTCTGGCTCCGCCGTTGAATACAGTCTCAGGTTGCTTGGTTTTACTTTTGCATTTTACCTTATTTGCGCTAGATCCTAGGACTGGCCGATTCGAGATTTTTCTCTCAAATCGTTTCTGTGTTCTGTAACTTCACGGTTCACTGGATTGTTTTGTTTGAATTTTGCTCCACCGTGTTGTATTTTTCCTGAATAACTTGTTTCGTGAGCTACGGAAATCGGTGAGAGATTGGCGAGGGGGAGAGTATTTGTGTTCTTGTTTCGTTTGAAATTTACTGGCAGCTTCACAGTAGGTCTTTGAAGTTCGCGACCTTTCTCGGTCCCCAATCTTCCTTAATGCAACTTTTGAGAACCGACTTTTCAATTGTTTTTGCTTTAAATCATGATGGTAAAGTGCCAAGGTCCATTTTCCACCAGTTTCTCTGGACCCAAAAAATTCATATAATCCGTCCCCCTTTTTCCTTTTATCTTTCTTTTACTTTTTTGGTCCTGTTGACCTTTTCGTTTCCCTGATCTTATTTTAAACGCAAATCAAATACTAATCATACATATATAACTGAAACAATATACAGGATTTCAAAACAAGTTTGAGTAATTAAAATTTCCACCTATCCTAAGCATAGACATGTTTTTCACTTCAAATCGGTGACCTCGTTTCATGATTTTTTTTCCCTAACACTACCTGTAAGGACTAATTCTTTATTGATAATTATGCAGTGGGCTCATTCTGATCGACCTGTTTATCACATTGTCTGCTGCAAGCCTCAATTGATTTGGATGAATTGTATTTCCATAGCATAGCCCAAGTTTCCAGAGAAGATAACAAGATGATGTCAATGCGGAGAAGACTGGCTTGCTGCTCAAGGGACCGAGCGGTCAGCCTTGACATGGACGCCCCAGTAGCATTCGCCTATCTTTTTTGAAAAGCACTCAATTATTATTATTTTTTTTTGACTTATACTTGATTTTAGGATAATATTTAAAAGTTTATGATGTAGCTTTATGCTGAATTAATATAAATCTCACGTTATCAATTCAAAAAGTTACTACCATAGATTTTGAATTTGAAAAATTAGGAATAACTCCACATGCCACTGGGACATTTTTTATTCATGCATGGTTTGACTAGCCATATCAGTTTGAAATACACTCACCACGTCCACATGCTACGAAGGATTTTTTTCTTCCTTCGTATTTATTNTCCCAACTGTTCGTTTTCTTCTTGTTCCGGTGCTGCAACTTTTGATCAGAATGTATTTTTTGTAGAGAGATGCTGCTCTGGCTCCGCCGTGGAATCCAGTCTAAGGTTKCTTGGTTTTACTTTTGCATTTTACCTTATTTGCGCTAGATCCTAGGGCTGGTTGATTCGAGATTTTTMTCTCAATTTTATCGTTTCTGTGTTYTGTAACTTCACGGTTCACTAGGATTGTTTTGTTTGARGTTTGCTCCACCATGTTGTGTTTTTGCTGAATAATTTGTGTTGTGAGCTACGGAAATCGATGAGAGATTGGCGAGGGGGAGAGTATTTGTGTTCTTGTTTCGTTTGAAATTTACTGACAGCCGCACAGTAAGTCTTTGAAGTTCGCGACCTAACTCTACCTATAATGACTAATTCTTTATTAAAAATTATGCAATGGGCTCATGCTGATCGGCCTGTTTGTCACATTGTCTGCTGCAAGCCTCAATTGATTTGGATSAATTGTATTTCCATAGCATAGCCCAAGTTTCCAGAGAAGATAACAAGATGATGTSAATGCGGAGAAGACTGGCTTGCTGCTCAAGGGATCGAGCGGTCAGCCTTAACATGGACGCCCAAGATAGTAAGCCTGAACTTTCCTTTACTATTTTAAGCACCAGTAGTATTTGCCTATCTTTTTCGAAACGCACTCAATTATTATTATTATTTTTGGCTTATACTTGATTTTAAGATAATATTTAAAAGTTTCTGATGTAGCTTTATGCTGAATTAATATAAATCTCACGTTATCAATTCAAAAAGTTGCTACTATAGATTTTGAATTTGAAAAAATTAGGAATAACTCCACATGGGGCATTTTTTATTCATGCATGGTTTGACTAGCCATATCAGTTTGAAATACACTCACCACATCCACATGCTACGAATGATTTTTTTCTTCCTTTGTATTTGTTTATTGCTAAGAAAGGTTATGGGTGAATTTTGAAAAGAAAGGGGGCGATGATCATGATAGTGGGCCAGGTAGAGAGTAAAAAGCRTGTCTGTTAGGGTTTGGTAAACAGAATAAGGGGGACTCGAGGGAAACGATAGGTCCAGAACGTCAGATCTTGTGAAAAGGAGTAGTAGGTGTAGAAGGCAGATATTACTACCAAGTGTTCCTTTGTGTCTTATTAGCATGACTAGACCCATTGCTAGTTCCGTGCAAATTATGTTGCCTTCAGAACGCACTATTTATTGTACTGTTTGACGTCCAAACCGAAATGGTGTTGGGTTTTTGGTGCTATGCTATACATAGAATGTTGGTGCTATTTTTTATATTTATATTTATTATTACTATTTTTTTGAGTTCACACATAGGGTGAGAATACGAACCTCCGACTATTGATTTATGCAATTGAGCTATTAAGAGGGGCTTTATTTTGTTGCTGCATTTAATTTTGAGCCCATCATCCAAATTTGAAATTTTATATAGATAAAATTTCAAATTTGATATTAAATAGTACAACCAAGGAATCATGAATACACCATTTTGAGCTGTCGGACATTTACTTAATCAATAAAAAGTTCTACAACTTTTAACTCCCCTTTAATGAGGTTTCTTTGGTTGATGGCCTTTTTGTTTCTTTACTTTAATTATTTCTTTTATGTTCACCCCTTAGGGAGTTTGTACCTTTGAACAATTTTGGTCATTTTCATTTATCAATGAAAAGTTCGTATCTTGTTAAAATATATATATATATATATATATATATATATATATATATATATATATACTTGAAAACTAAAAACAAATGAACGAAAACCCAAAAACTCATAGGAACTAAACAAGATGGAGAAAATATATTAATTCATTTGATATAATCTCATGGGACGTGAAGAGAAGATGGTGATAAATGTCATGTCGTATTATGTCTCAGGGTTGCTTTTATCCTCATTCAAACCTCCTTTTTTTTGAGTATTAACAACATATAGGGTGAGGATTCAAACCCACAATTTTTTGTTTGAAATATATGCCTTAACCTGGTTAGCCATGCTTAGGTTGATATATTCTTGCTCAAATGTTGATCCTGCTATTCTAATTTTGATTATATAATTATTAAGATATCACGAGCCAAGGGAATTAAGCAAACTAAAGTATGTTAGTTTAATTTTTTATATAAATTTTCCTCTCTTATTTTTTTCCCTCAAAATAACGTTTTCTTGAAACCATGGTTCTTTTGAGCATGGATTACCAAGGTCCTAACGTGCTACTAGACTCTGATACCAACTGTAACGCTCCAGGATTTTCAACTTTCCAAACGAGGACTAAGTAAGAAAACCACCACGCTTCCACTGCACTACTCGGATTTAAACTCCACCATTTCCATATGTTACCTACTTAAGAGGTAGTCTGTGCAATTTGCCCGATATATATAAATATATGTTTAGTTTATTTATTTTTATTATGAAATGTCTTGTAGGCCATTTGTCTCAGATATTTTGAAACGTCTTGTAGGCCATTTGTCTCAGATATTTTGAAATGTCTTGTAGGCCATTTGTCTCAGATATTTTCCACGTGACAAGATTAAGCAAATGACTCTAATACTATTTGTTAGGGACAAGGAACCACCCTCCACATCTCCGATATGATATTGTCCACTTCGGGCATAAGCCCTCATGGTTTAGCTTTGGTATCACCCAAAAAGCCTCATTCATATAAAGATGTTGTCCCTCACTTATATATCAAAGATCTTTCCTTTACCTAGCCAATGTTAGACTTTGGTCGCATTCCCAACAGGGGAAAGTAAGATTATATCTCCTATATCCAATTTCAAGATGRCATTATGATACTTGGAAAAAAATGACAAAAAGAACCAAAAGAATTGCTTTTCAGTGTTAAAATTCTTTTGGGAGCATCCCACTAGGTCTTCAAAAAATTCGAGAGGTGGTGGATTGATTCAAAGCCTATTGCATGGTTAGTCAACTGAGCATTYTATCCAAATGACAAGATTAAGGGAAAGACTTTGATACCATTTGRTAGGGACAAGGAACCACCCTCCACATCTCCATTRAWATAATATTATCCACTTTGGGCATAAGCCCTCATGGTTTCGCTTTTGGTATCACCCAAAAGACCTCATACATATAGAGATGTTGTCGCTACCTTAAATATCAAAGATCTTCTCTTTATCTAGCCAATGTTGGACTTTAGGTCGCGTTCCCAACAGGGGAAAATAAGGTCATGATCTCTTATATCTAATTTAAAGATGACACTATGATACTTGGAAAAWATGACAAAAAGAACCAAGAGAATTGCTTTTCAGTGTTAAAATTATTTTGGGAGCATCCCTATAGGTCTTCAAGAACTTCRAGAGATGGTGCATTGATGCAAAACTTATTGGGTGATTAGACACTCGAGCACTCTACCCACATGACAAGATTAAGGGAATGACTCTGATACTATTTGTTAGGGACAATGAACCACCCTCCACATCTCCGATAAGATATTGTCCACTTCAGGCATAAGCCCACATGGTTTAGCTTTTGGTATCACCCAAAAAGCCTCATTYATATAGAGATRTTGTCYCTAACTTATATATCCAAGATCTTCCCTTTATCTAAKTCAATGTTCGACTTTGGTTGCRTTTCCAACARGAAATTAAGGTTATAATCTCTTCTATTCAATTTGCAGATGACACTTTGATTCTAGGCAAAAATGACAAAGAGAACCTAAAGAAATTCTGTTCAGTGTTTAAATTTTTTTTTTGGGAACATCCCTCTCTGTGTTGAAAATTTTGAGAATTGGTGTTTTAATACTAAACATATAGGGTAGATAGGCACCCGAGCATTCTTCCCACATGACAAGGTTAAAGGCATGACTCTAATACCATTTGTTAGGGACAAGGGACTTCCCTCCACATCCCCGTTGATACTATATTTTCCACTTTGGGCGTAAGACCTAATRGTTTTGTTTTTTGTATCATCCAAAAGGCATCATTCATATAGAGAGGTTGTCTCTAACTTATATGTCTAATATCTTCCCTTTATCTAGCCAATGTTGGACTATGGTCACGTTTCCAACGCGAAAAATAATGTTATSRTCTCTTGTATCAACTCTTAATAATAGTTAAAATTGATTAGGTTGTCTTATACAATTCTTCAATGCACGCTTAAGGTACTTTGCATCTAAATGAAACCAAAAACAGTCCAGAAATTGAAGCAACTACCCTAGCCCATCTCATTTATATATTCTATACCATGAAGGAAATACATAATAATCTCACAAAACAAAAATAATTATAACCTGAGGCATTTTATCAAAGATCCAATGCATAGATCACCCCTCCGCKTAGCAAGCTGATCTGATATATGGCACTATATTTGGCTTAATTAAAATCAAAATATTCCCCTACTCGAAAAACATTTTATTACTAGTAACCAAACCAATAAGACACCATGTTACTACAAGRCAAAAAACAAAATATGTTCTTAAATTAAAATAACAAATTATGTTTGGTATACCATTATGGAATCAATGTGACAATAATTGTTTTATCGTGTTTATAAATAGGTTTGAAATTATTTTCATAGTTATTGGATAATAATAAAGTTAAAAAAGAATATCTAWTTTGTTTGTTATGAAATATAATTGTAAAAAATTGAAAATATGGAAATTATTAACTAAATAAACATTAATATACATTAAAAACTACACAAACAATCAATTTTGTGAGGAACAGAATTTGCTTGTTGCAACATACCTCAAGTGAAGCTAGGGTAGGAGAATCCATACTTATTCCTCTATGTTTCCCAATAAAATACTGTATGTAGTAAAAGCCCTCTCTCGAAGCTTGTTGTAATCTCGCCATCTGACTCATCCATGGCCCCCACACATCTTGTAAATCAACAACTTCAGGCCATCGGTTACATTTCCAGAGCCAAAATACTAGCACCTTAAATAAACAATGTCAGTAATAAATAACAATAGAATTAGATCACCAATGTCTATTTTACAAAAGCACAGAGGRGAAGAAGATGGGGAAAACCTTAGAGAAGACGCAAGGTTCAGGCAGTGAGTTAAGATTAGCGCTAGGGCACACATGATATCAATTACTTGGAAAAATCCTCTGGAAAAACTCACAGAAAATATTACAAAAACTGCATGTACCTGCAAAATTGAGAATCYAGGGACTGAGAAAGTTACAATGTCATTGGAAACAAAATCTCTCCTTCAAAAACATAAAAATCAGCCMCTGTAAGTTCCATTCCTTTCCAGCAGACTCCGTCCCAAAAGCTTCTCTATTGGTTCCTTCTTCACTTTTCTCACCARTCTTTAAAGTAATCTAGGCTTTCAATAACTTGTGGGCGTTGTCCTCTCAGAAAGAACATACRTAGAAAACTCATTACAATCATGCAAATGATATATCACAATTTCAAATTTTACCTTCAGCGAGGAGATGCCAAAGTGGATATCAAGTGAGGCTATGGCAGCATGACAGTCTCTGATGTTACACAACTACTACAAGGCAAAAAAAAAACTTTTTCAGACCAAACCTAGGCCTATTACACACACTTGATCGCAAAGGAAAGGATGAGAAGTACAAGGCAGAAGAAAGAGCAATAATTCATCSAACCATATTAAATTACAATATCCCAACTCAATACAASGGAATTAGTGAGTTCCCCAATTTAGGTTTTCCAAATAATTTGATAAGTGGTTCATCACAGCTTTTCAATTACTTCCCTACTATTCAAAACGTTTTAGAAGTTCCTTTGCTGTTGTTATCCAAAAATACATAGAGTACAAGTAAATTATATCAACGAAAACAGTACACAAAAAGGGGGACAAAAAAACATACAAAAACGAAAAATAATTCAAAGTTAATTTTAAAATTTCGTATAACCGACAAACCCAATTTGATCCTTCAAAAAATTTTCACAGTAGAGATTGCTGTTGTTAAAATACCTGCATGCTAAGCCATCCTGCAGTAAATTCCTATAACCAGCCGAAACCTAGATAATGTACGCAGAAAGGGAAAAGAAATGAAAATTCAATAAACAGAGAACTTCTAAAAGAATGACTCCTTTTTAAGCATGCTCCTTTCTAAGGATTACTTAAATTAGGGAAGAAATTAAAATCAACGCAAATAGTAATCAAAAGCAATACCACGAGACGCAACTTTGGCAACAACAGGCATTCAAATCTAAGAGTACCTCAACCTTATCCAGCTTCGTGGCTCTGGCTAGCTATGAAATCATTTAGACACTCCAAATTTCCGAATTCCAAATCGAGAGCGAAAAAATAAAAGAAACAGAAACCGATAGTTACGAAAATCAAAATTTCTTCAGTACGACCAGCATAGTACTCCCCAAAAATTTAGGGTTTCGAAGTACCCAAAAGCCTTAAAAAGATGGATAAGAACAAACTTATGCCGATCAATGGGAGTCGGTGAGTTTACCAGAAACTTGGAATGACGATCGCAAAATTGAAAGAGCGAGATTGAGAATGGGGTGAAACAGAGGGACGGTGGTACCCAGAATGCGATAAGAGCCTGCGAAACCAAGAAGAAAGTTACAGTACGATTTTCTGTACTTTCAAACCGGAAATACACTGATAACGAGCGAGATTGAGTGAGAGAGAGGAGAAAACCCTAATTGAAAACCGATAAATGAGATCAAAAAAAAAAAAACGAACCTGGATGGTTGACTCCATGAACTGAAGATGCGCCAAAGAGAGGGAGAGCAACGAACATTTGAGTAAACCGCGAACCCCTACATCTTATAGCCGTTAGCGTGCGTGAAGAATAAGCAAACTCAAAATAAAATTATAATATCATTTGTTTTAATTACCTTTAATTTAAATTACTTTTTTTTCCCACCTACTAAAAAAAATACATTTTCCATTTAATTCGAATGCATTTTTCTGGTAGATATTTAGACTTCGATTATTAGTTGGGTTGGTCTCATAGAGAATGGTCTTTGTTTATTATCAATCGAGGTGGACCTAATAGAGAATGAGTTTTGTTTATTATCTTGAACTGCGTTTGAAACTCTAATATTTTGTATAACAAAATTCAGAATGTTGAYTCAATTTAATTTAATTTTTATATCACGAAATTCTCAAGAACCTAAAACCAGAAGAAGAAGGCCAGAAATTGTACCGTTACAAAAGTTTTCGTGAAGAGAAAGCAAAAGCAACTAAATGACTAAAACAAAATTTTCTTTTATTAAATAATAATAAATAACATCAAAAAGGGCTGGACCTAATACACATAGTATGTTTCATGGGTTTTTTCTTTCATGGTCAAAACTGTAATAAATAAATAATAGCAATAATAATAACAATAACTAGTCGGTTTTGTCAGAACCCAACCCGTCTGGGCGGCTTGGTTTTAGTCCTCTGTTGAAAGAAACCAATAAATATATACATATTTAAGTAAAACTGTATTTTTTTAACCAAAAAGTAAAAGATAAAAAATACTCTGGTTCCTATACTCACCTAAAATAACAATTTAATCCATGAACTTCAGTTCGTAACCATTTAGTCCATGTACTTTCAAATTGGGTTTTTAACCAAAATTAAATGATGGATATAAAGTTTTTTCCTTGAGTAAAATTCTAACCATTCTATGAACTCACACTTCAAGTAGAAGTGAAATAGTATTCCTCACCATATCAATACTAGATGACTAGTGATGAGTGAATCATTCCCGAAATAGAAAAAGAATAAAGAAAAAAAAGGTTTATACTTGAGGGGAAAATGACGAAAGAAAACATAGTAACCTCATCTGAACCACAATCGTGTTAGAATTGTCGTCGGTTTAATTAAACACTTGTTCAGAGTCATCGAACGATCTTGTGCACATTTCATCGATAGTTACGCAATGTAAAACAATAAAACCTGATTATTCAAAACAAAATAATCTGAAATTGGAAAATGAAATAGCTTATATACCTAGGAGGGAAACAACGAAAGAAAGCGTAGTAACTTCAGAAGAACCACAGTGGTATTGGAATTGCGATCAATTCATGATGTATTTCATAAATTGCATCAAAGCATGACACAAAAACCCTAGAAACCGTAGCAACAGAAGATAGAAATTTAAAGGCTGAAACAGAGTAAATAACTTATGAGAAACAGAGAAAACGAATCCGTTGAGGAAGGCAGAAAGTTTATGAAATAGAAACGGTGAAAATTTCACTATTTAGTGAAACATTTGTTTTCGAAGGATGAAGCGTGGCACATAAACCCTACAAAGGAGGAGACGAGATTCGGAGGTCGAAACGGAGATGAGAGTCGATGAGAAAAACAGAGAAAACGAAGTCATTGAACTGTTTTCGTTGAGAAAATGATCCTTATTCTAGGATGATAAGCAAGTCTGTTCTAGATTGCTATTTTCTTATTGGTATTGTAGAATCCTCATTTTTAGTTTCTTTGGTTTGAATCCAAACCAAAGACAAAAACCTTAGTTTGAAGCAAGTCCCTTTATTATGGGCGAGGATGCTAAGCCCATAAGTTGATGTGGACAAACTCGTAATGTGGG